CACATGTACTTTGTAAGGGCATCAAATGACTGTCTCATTCTGAGTAACGCAAAGAACTGTGCATTTCAGCTACTACATCCGTGTGTGTCTCACTCCTACAGCTGACCAGATCTTACTTCAGAAAGCTTTTCCAGTCTACTGTTATGGCTTTAACTTACAACCCTGTTCCTTGATTTTGCTTATTTGATAAAACTTGCCAATGATAATTCATTTTTGTTAGCATAAAACCACTGCGAAATTATTCTGTTTCACAGAAGGTGTCTGATGGCCTTTAACTGCCTGGGGTCATGGAGTCTTTTCCCTCTACAAATTGTGTTTCTGTCCCATTCTCCCTGCCTTGGGATTGTAGCTGCTCACTCTGACCTTTGAGTAAAAAGATTGATTATATATGGGCACAAAGACTACATGAGAAGGGTTTTGAGCAAACTGAATAAAACATGTCTAAGGTCCTTTCTGCAGCAAAAGAAACGATGTCCAGAGGAAAATGCACCATTTTGAGGATGTGCTGGCACTGTACATTAGTGCTTTCAACTCCGTCTTGAGTTATGGAAAACACTGAACCACACTATACAAGCAACATAATTTAAGAGCAACATCTGTATTCTGAACTTTAAGGATAGCAATACCGAATTTCAAAACTTCTAAATACACTTGTATAGATTCTTGCTTGAGGCAGGTAAGCTTCCGTTTCTAAATAATGCTGATAGAAACACCAGGCTGTATACAGCAAACAAGTGTGAGATGGAATAAGGAAAATTTAGAAAACGTGCCAGCCGAGACACGTGAGAGATCTCTGTGAGTGTGTCCACATCTGCTCTGGAAGACCTCAGGACCACTTCCTTTCAGATAGCTTGGTAGAACTCATTTCCTTCACCTACAACCACTGTAACTGGATTCACACATATACAGTAGCTCATTGCTTAATTTATTGTACTTTATTATACATGTAGGCACTAGTTCACTTGTTTACTATACTTATTAAATACAGGTAATCATTCACTGTTTACTGTATTCATATATGTAGGTAATTCCTCACAATGATTTAAGGGATGGTGATATTTCTATCTTTATGCATGGAAACATGTTAATTAATTTGTTCACCTATAAGCTCATATATAGAAAAATGAGATATTTAAAAATCAATAGGAGTATAACCTAATTATGCATCCATTAAAAATAACTGTTGCAGGTTGGGTATGTACCTTAGTAGGTCATACTTGCTTAACATTACCTAGATTTGATTCTCAGCATTGAAAAAATATAACCCTTGCCAACAGTTTTTATTATATTAGGAAATATGAAAAATATAATAGTTTTAAAAAGATAATATAAACTATATATTATAGTCTAATATAAATATTCTTCATATTATGTATAAATACATGCATACATATTTAAAATATAAGTGTAATATATATTTCACATACAGGTATTTCTTTGTACTATCAACCTTTTGCTTATTTATAGTTTGTATAGTTATCTTTTATAATGAATAGTATTTAAAAGCTCAAAGCAACCATTATTTAAAAAACTCTGCAGACTGATGTAACACTTTGTTAAGATGTTTTCAATTGTTGCATTATCTAAGACAATTTGAAGGGTAAAATAGTTATGTAGTAGTGGCACTTAGATATTTCAGAAGTTACACCATCTGCAACAGAGTCTGAGACATTCTTGCCAGTGTGCTAAAAGTAAGCACAGAGGCCATACCACATGGCTTCGTGTGACTCAGATGTCTATTGATTTTCAGTCAAGATTAATGTTCTGGGAACCAAGTTAATAGCTAGCAATTTTAGTGGTAAGAATTTCAAAGAAAAGAAAAAAAGCATTAGATGAACACATGTTAAAAGGAGAGTGGAGTTTCATTGGATTTTTTTTCTCCATGTTGGAGACACAGTCTGACTGGGTAGTCTAGATGACCAGCAAGTTCCAAGGATCCTCTGTCTCCACTCATTCAGTGCTAGGGTTACAAATGCATGCCACTGCATCCACTTTTATGAGGTGCTCGGATCCAAATTCAGATCTTCATGTTTACATGGCAAGAACCTAACCCATTCATCCATCTCCCCAGCCCCTGCAGCTACATTTTTTTATTTCAGTTAATGGAATATGAACATTCCTCATGTACTCTTATGATCTTAGTAAAGTTTATACTTTAAAAAAGACCTATCAGCTTTCCAATGAATGCTGCATACAGAATTTTGATATGTAGGTTTGCAGACAGATAGCATATTACTATTTTATGTATATGAGTATACCCATATGTCTATGTGTAGAACTATCTATATTGTTTGCAGAAACAACCTGGACCTGGGGGCAGTACAGAGCTTGCCTTCACATACAGGTTCCTGATGTGACAGGTAATCGTTTTCATGTCTCACAACTGTTCTGTTCTTTACCACAGTTTGAGACTTTCTGTGGAACCAGTACAGTTGATACCTGCTGGTTTGCAGCTAGCACTACGGAAAAAATTTAGGTCTATTATTTTTTATTGAAGGTAAAAACATTAAAAGAGTTAATACAATTTGGAGGAATACATGGGAACAAATGGGGTCAGAATAACAAAATAAAGTTATAGGTTAAGTTTAAGGGCTTACTTTAAAAATTATGACACATGGGTAATTTGTTTGAATAATTATAGCCCTCCTACTAGTTATTTGGTCAGCATGACTTCCTAGGGAGTGAAATAAATAGATATTTTATGCAAACAAATGTCTCTCTGAAGAATTGGCTGCTTTCTCAGTAATGAGTAGATCTGTTCTGTGCATTGTAAAGAAATAGATTGATCTCATTAGTATATCAGATAATCTGTATGAATGTGCATAGCTTTGTGTCTCTACTTAAATCTTTAGCTCATGGCCTTCAGGGACCAGTGGGCTAACACAGAGACTGTGGCCTGGCTTTGTGAGTTACTACTTCACAGAATGTTGGAGGGCATAATGGATACACCCACTCCAGCACGTGAGCACCAGAGCTTATTTTCTACAACTGAGTCAGAATAATATTTCCTTCCAAGTTATATTACTTTCCTTACAGTATTTTTCTTTTCCAATTATAAGTAGAAGAAAACAGAAACAGCAGAAAAATTCTTCTCTGGAATTCACAAGAGTCTGGGCACATTTAAAGTTTGATGCTATGAAACAAAGGGTAACGACACGGCAAATATGAAAGTCTTTAGGTGTTTTAAGGAGAAACTATGTATAGTTGAAACTACCTCGATCTGAGTGATTAGAAGTAAGAATGATTTGCTTATACAGTCTTTAGGTTTTTACCTTGATCAACCAACTAAACTAACGTGAAAAGGAAGTGATAATCCAGCCTCAGTTTACATATCTACAAATGACATTCTCATCTGACACTATCACATGTATATTAGTATCTGTGAAGGAGTTTTAAGACTGTTCAAATTATTTTGAAGACATAAATTCAAATTGTGTCCACTGTCAAAACAATTATTAATAAACCTGGGCAAATTTCAGCATAGTTAACAGTAGACTCTGTTAATACTATCTGTAATCAGGCTGCTACTCCTGAGTGCCTAACAAGTGTATCAACAGGATTGATAAATTTAGCTATTTTAATTTATACCCACAGTCTTTTAGTACAAAATCATCTCCTTGGTTTTGAATTAACACATACACAGAAACACCTGAAGCTAAGCTGCATTTAAAATGCTTTATTTTTGGTTGTGAGCCTAGCCTTTAACGGCTGAGCGGGAGGTGGTGGCGCACGCCTTTAATCCCAGCACTCGGGAGGCAGAGCCAGGCAGATCTCTGTGAGTTCGAGGCCAGCCTGGGCTACCAAGTGAGTTTCAGGAAAGGCGCAAAGCTACACAGAGAAACCCTGTCTCGAAAAACCAAAAAAAAAAAAAAAAAATGCTTTATTTTAATAAGGTGTTTTCTTTTTTTGCATGTGTATGTGGTGTGAATGCACTTATGTGTGTTTGCATTTGTGTGTCTAGGGGTGCACATGTGTGTGCTCATTTATGCAGAGGCCAGAGGCTGATATAGGTTTTCTTCTTCAACTGATCTCTACTGTATTTTCTAAGGCAGGGTATTTTGCTGAACCCAGAGCTCACCCATTTGGCTAGTCTAGCTGGCGAGCTTGCCCTGGGGATCCCTTGTTTTGACCCTCTAAGCTCTGAGATGGGCCACCATGCCCGCCTGCCTTTTATGTGAGTGTTGGAGATCTGAGCTCTGTCTTTATGCTTGCTCAGCAAGTGCTTTTTTTCACTGAGCTATCTCCTTGGCCCAAACTTCCATACATTGTTATTAGAAGACATTTATTTATTTGTCTTATATTGACATGTTATTGCATTAATATTAAGCTAATGTTTAAAAGCATATCATATTTAACCCAAAATGAATTAATTGGAGACATACTCTAATACCTAACCCAAAATATTATTTTCTAAACAACTGACAAGAGACCAAATCTCTGGAGAGTACTTTCTCACTGCCAGTACATATAGTTTATGACATGACAGCTACAAACAGTCCTACTTCAAATACACAGAACACAGGGAAAAATGATACTGTCTTAACTCATGGCAATATAACACAAGACTATGAATGCACAGAAGCAGTCTATCCTATCCTGCCCAGGCAGGCTTAATTCTCAATTTCTTTTTGCTGAAACGCAAATATAGTTAACCAACATAAGGATTTAAATGGAAAAGTTCACTGGATTTCAAAAGCAGGCCAATGCTTGTTTTTCACACTTGTATTTGCACACCTATGTACTATATTAAAAAGTTACAATAGTGAATAAACTCAAGCAAAGACAGAGAAGCCTAAGATGATTAAACTACATTAATGAATTTGCTTTTGTGGCTAAGCACAATTGGCCATTTCCTTATACATTATGCATCATATAAGAATAGTAATGATATGGTTTGAGGCTGATATAGAGACATAAACTATTTGATGGCTTTGCAATTTGGCTGACTATTTTGATAATTAATACTTTTATAGGCTAGTTATAGAAGTAAGTATACGTACCCTGCTCTAACACCTCTTCCTCTTCATGCTTTGGCTGCTGGATTAGAGCAGTTTTATCTTTGTTTTCTGTTTCTGTAAAGGATCAAAGAAGTTGAGTGTGAATTATAGCACATATCACATACTTTACTAGTTTACTGGGATTCTGCCATCAAAACAGCAATATTACTCAGAATATTGTGTTAATTACATTATCAAGAATCTTTTTGGTTGGAATGCTCTCATTCACAATCTTCTGCCACCCCCAGCACAACTACCAGTTACCTGTCTTGTTATATAAGCAGGCCAACTATTTTTTGGTAACATATTAATTACAGAGCATTAAAAAATGTTTCAACAAACTACTCATATTTAGTTTTTAAATTGACCTTAATAATAATTTAAGACATTTCAAGAAAAATATAAACTTGTATTCTCTAAACATATTAGCATCTTAGTAAATGACCTGATTACTGGCTGCTATTGGCATTTTATGGTTGAATTTACAAAACCCCATAAGGTCTCAGCATGCTTCGTGCTATGGAAATCACTTTAACGATGTAAAGATGTATTACATTTGTTTATACTGCAGAATATTACTTTAACTTTGTAAAGGTGCATTATATTTGTTTATGCTGTGGACTATTACTTGAACTGTGTAAAGGTGTGTTACATTTGTTTATGCTGCATTTGTTCAATGATGTTAGGATGTGTGTTTAATTATGTAAAGATGTGCTGCATTTGTTTCACCTTGCTTGCCTAAGGTGCCTGATTGGTCTAATAAAGAGCTGTATGGCCAATAGCTAGCAGAGAAATGATAGGCGGGGCTGGCGGGCAGAGAGAATAAATAGTAGGAGAAATCTAGGCTCACGAGGAAAAAAGAAGAAAGAAGAGAATGAGGAGAAAAAAAGGGACATGTCCAGGGCAAGAAGCCAGGCAGCCACCAGCCAACCAGTTCCAAGAAGCAGTGAAAATAAGATATAGAGAAGGAAAAAAAAAAAAAAAAGTAAAAGGCCCCAAGGCAAAGGTGGATGAAGATAAACAGGTTAATTTAAGTTAAAAGAGCTAGCCAGAAATGACCCTAAGTTAGGCAAAGCATTCATAACCAATACTATCTACATGTCTTGATTTGGGAGTTAGTTGGCGGCCTAAAAGAAAACGCCTGGTACAAGTTCGTGCAGTAGGACAGGGTGTGTGTTTTGCAATTTTAAACTAAAGAAATGACAGTCCAATATGACCATTTTGCAGATGAGCAATAACCTAAAGCATGAATTTGAGAATCAAACCCCTAGAGCAAAGACCAGGAGCACCAAGAATTATTTTTCACTTGAAAAGGTACATTATGTAGATGTGGTTGGAAATGATAAGCATTTTTACTATTTAGGATGTGGTACAAATTAAAAATCATGTAAGTCATTTCTGCCTATGGAAGGAATGAGGTAAGGAAAGTAAAAATAACCTAGGAATTCTATGAGGAGAGGTTTACATTGGTGGGATTGGTCACAAAACTAACAGTCTTTTCATCACTGGCTGATACTTGTCTCATGCGTGTGTGCGTGTGTGTGCCTAGGCCAGAGGTTGACTGCAAGTGTCTTCCATGAGCATTCTCTATGTTATATTTTGAAATAGGATAGCTCATAGAACCTGGAGTTTGCTCATTCGGCTGGACTGGCTGGCTAACAAACCTCAGAAATCCTTCTGCTTCTACCTCTGCAGTGCTGGGATTACGGACACATGGCTTTACTCTGCTGGTGACCAAATTCAGGCATGATGCTTGTATGGCGAGCACTTTTCCTAGTGAGCCATCTCTCCAGCCTCTTTTTGTGTATGTGCATGTGCTCTGTGGGCGTGTATGTGTATTATGCACTGTATATATTCATGTGTGTGTGGATGTGGATGTTTCTATACATCAGGTTGTGGAGGCCAGATGTCAATGCTGGATGCCTTTCTGGATCAGTCTTCTTCTTTTTCCAGACACGGTCTTTTACTGAATCAGGAGTTCCCTGATTTGGTTAGGCTGGATGGCCAGGAGAGCTTTAGGATCCTCCGTCTCTGCCTTCCTAGTGTGCACAGATGTGTCTAGCTTTTACACCAGCGCTGGGGATCTGAACTCAGGGCCTCATGCTTTCATGCTAAGCACTGTATTAACTGAACCATTTCCCACAGTGCCTTCCTTCACTGCTTTGATGGAGTTAAGTCAGGGAGGAGTGGAGACTGTATATGAAAGAAAAAGAAGAAATAATACGTGTGCCTAATGATTGACTAGAGAGGCTAAAATAATTTGAGATTAATCATATAGTCCAGTGAGACAACAAGTGAAAATACAGAGCACAAGACCACATGATTCTCTCGCTTACCTTTGTGATGGCCATGCATCATCACCATGTCAGATTTTACAGTAATTGGAATGTTGGCCTCTGCTGGTATAGTTCTGAACATATCTGGGGCCACGTTCTGTGTACAGGTCATGAAGGAAACTGCATATTTGGCTTCCATGTAATACATGATGTATAAGTTGCACATTTCATCACTAGACGTGCCACTGTAGGGGGAATAAAGTAGACAGGACATATAAATTGTTCAAATAAAACACATCATTAATGCAGGGTAAATGAAAGGAGTAAATCCGGCCAACAGTGGGCTCAACAGTGAAAAAACTGCATCTATTTTATGTTTTTCATTAAGACCTATCACAGTCTCCAACATCAGAAGCACGTTATCAAAGCTGTAATTCCACCCAACAATGGAGTATCGGTTTCTGGGTACTCTGTGGGCATTGCCCAGTACCAAAGGTGAAAATGGCATTTAAGTAGCTCAGAGATGCAGTTTTTTTTCCCTCCGAAATCCTTTTATTCTTTATTTACCTTCCATGTTATAAAACCCACACATAAATCCATTACATTTTAAACAAATTACATTGTTCTAGTTCCAATTATCAACTTTCAGGAATCTAGAATCATCTGGCATTCTAGTTTATCTCTGTTGCTCTGAAAAAAAAAAAAAAACATTCTGACCAAAATTAAATTAGGGGAGGAAAGGGTGTGTTTCAGCTTACAGGTTACAGTCCACCATCAAAGGCAGTCAGGGCAGAAGCTCAAGGAGTAACTTCAAGCAAAAATGATGGAGGAGCACTATCACTTGGATTATTTTCAGGGTTAAGCTTAGATAGCTTTCTTATAAATCCGGGGTCACCAGCCTAGGGGTAGTGCCATCTACAGTGGGCTGGGCCCTCCTACATCAACTAAGAAATCAAGAAAATTTCCCAAATGCAAACACTAGACTAATCTGATCTAGGAAGTCAGTTGAGACTTCACTCTCCAATGACTGTAGTCTGTGCAAGTGGACAGTAACAGCTAAGAAGGACATCTGGAAAGGGTGTTTCAATGAGAAGGAGCTAGGTTAGATTTGCCTGCAGGCAAGACGGTTTGGAAGTCTTGTGACTGTCTGGAAGACCAGTCTAACAGTGGGTTGACTCCAGCTGCTTCAATTTCCAACTGCCTTTACTTCCGTGCAGAGATGGTCTGTAACCTGGACTTGTGAGCTGATGAATCCTTTCTGCCTTAAGCTGGTTTTTATTGGGGGTACATTATCAAATCAACAGGAACGTAACTAGGACTCCAATAGGAATATCATGTATGACATAGAAGTACACTTACTGTCCGGTGTCTAGAAACTCCTTCTGGATTCACTGCCTCCTTTTTATGGTCACGTGCCACCTGAGGCACCCTAAGTATAACCCTGATATCTGACCTTGCACCTGAGTGAAGGAGCAAGGAACGAAAGAATGGCCAGCAGGGAGTCCCAGTGAGTTCTCCTTAGACTCCTCCAAGGGGTGCACATCTTACCCATGTAGTACCATACAGCTGATAGGTAATGCTAAACACAGATGATCAAAACACTGAAACAGCTATTTCTAAGCAAACATTTCCAGGTAATAGAAATAACACGTTACAAAACATGCTTGCTTCCTCCGTCAACACAGGCTACCAGGTATTTAAGATTCTCTCTGGTAATTAAGGAGGCTTTGCATCCACACACTTCAGAAGGCTTGTATAGCAACTTAGTTCTGGAAAAAGCACACTGCTTTTTGGTTATTAGTTGTAACAATTTTTAGCGAGCCTAATCAAAAAACCAGCTCTAAAGTAGACTGCTTGCTCTGGGGAAATTCATCAGTGTTGATTTTTCCAGCAGTGTCATGCGGCAATCAATTCTTTTCCATAGCAACACAGATGACATCAGCAAGAAAAGGGAAAAAAAATAAAAATCTTTTCCAAATAGGATGTGATTCCTGTAAGCTGTGAAAATGTACGGCCCCTGTGAGACCTCAGGAATTGGCTCTCGAAATGAGGAGAAGCTCTGGTAATGTTTCAGAAATCATTTGGCTTCTTACTCCAAATCTGATATACGTCATTTTAACTGCCTTTTCCATGAAATAAAAGCAAATAGTGAAGTGAAGCAATCCTAAGCAAACACCTGTTCACTATGCACTTCTTCATGGTGTCAAGACACCACCCAAAATTATATTGGAGCAGGTTTAGGGCTGGTCAGAAAAGTATGTGCTCTAAAAGGAATGGGTGGTCCCATAATAAAAGGACATGAAAAAAAAAAAAAAAAGGACATGAAAGAAGGAAGCTTTTGCTTTTTGCCTGATTGCCCCTCTTCTCTCTCACAGGCAAGTTCATCTCTGATGCTGAGGCATTCCTTTGCTGCTATTAGAACCTATTCTTAGGGATTCCAAGGATTATTGAGGACAAGTAGAAACATCCAGCCTTGTTGAATGAACAACTCTTACATTCTTGGATTTTCCATCAGCAGACAGATCTTGTTGGACTAACTGGACAGCAGCCTGTAAGCTTTTGTAATAAATTCCCTTTTAATATACATAGATTCATTCTAGAAGTTCTGTTCCTCTAGAGAACTCCTGTTTAATACAAGACCCATAACCCCTAGTGAAATAGAAACACTGATTAAAAGCTCCTACCCCCAGCAACAAAAAACTAGAGCCAGATGGATTCAGCACAGAATTCTATCAGACATTCAAAGACAAATTTATGGCCACACTCCTCAAATTATTCCACAAAATAGAAACTGAAGGAATATTGCTTAATTCATTTTATGATGCCACTATTACCCTGATACCAAAGTCACACAAAGAGGCAACAGAAAAGAAAAAATTTTACCAATATCCCTTTATGACAATAAATGCAAAAATTCTCAATAAAATACTTGTAAATCAAATCCTAGAAGACATCAAGATTATCCACCATGATCAAGTTGGCTTCATCCCAGAGACGCAGGGATGGTTCAACCCAGGTAAATTGATAAATGTAATGCACCACATAAACATACTGAAAGACAAAAACCACACCCCTTCATGATAAAAGTGTTAGAGAGACTAGGGATATGCCTTAGTTAAGATTACTATTGCTGTGATGAAACACCATGACAAAAGCAAGTTGGGGAGGAACGGGCTTATTTAGCCTTACACTTCCACATCATTGTCCATCACTGAAGGAAGTTAGGGAAACATTTCAAACAGGGTAAGAACCTGGAGGGAGGTGTGTAGATATAATTCTGAATTGTTTTATTAAATAAGAAACACAGAGTCAAATGCACAGTTAAAAGCCCCAGAGGTCAGAGAGCAGTAGCTAAGAGCTGAGACCAAGACCGCCTTCTTACCACCTGCTGCCACTGCCGTCCTATCTCTGAGAAAGGGACCTACTTCCTGTGTGTCTGTCTTTTTATTGACTTTCTGTTCTGCCTTCTCATTGGTTGTAAACCCAACCACATGACCTCCTTGTCACTGCCTGTCTATACAGACCTCCAGGTCTCTATGGTTGGTATTGAGATTAGAGGCGTGTGTCTCCAAACTGGCTATGTCCTTGAACACACAGACTCTGCCTGTCATGTGATCAGATTAAGGGCGTGTGCTACCACCGCCAGACTTCTGCTATGGCTTGCTATTATCTCTGACCCCCAGGTAACTTTATTTATTAACATACAAATAAAATCACATTTCAGCACAAATAAAATATCACCATAGAGGTGCTGATGCAGAGGCCATGGAGGGATGATGCTTACTGGCTTGTTCCACATGGTTTGCTTAGCCTGCCTTTTTATAGAACCCAGGACCACCACCCACAATGCACTGGGTCCTCAGTCATCTATCATTAATTAAGAAAATGCCCCTACAGACTTGCCTCCCACCCTGTTTTATAAAAGCATTTTCTTACTTGAGTCTTCTTCCTTTCCAATGATTCTATCTTCTGTCAATTTGAAATAAAACTAGCCTGCACAGGATACAAGTGCTCTACCCCAACATAATAAATGCAACTTATAGTAAGTTCACAGCTAACATCAACCTTAAAAGAAGAGAAACTCAAAGCATTTCCACTAGAATCAGGAACAAGGCAAGGTTGTCCAGTCTTTCCATACTTATTTATGGTGGTGGCACTATTAGAAGGTATGGCCTTGTGGAGTAGGTGTGGTCTTGTTGGAGGAAGTGTGTCACTGTGGAGGCAAGCTTTGAGGTTTCCTATATGTTCAAGATAATGCCCAGTGTCTCAGTCCACTACCTGTTGCCTGAAAGATGTAGGATTCTCAGCTACTTTTCTAGCACCATGTCTGCCTGCATGCTGCCATGTTCCACCATAATGGACTGAACCTCTGAATTGTAAGTGAGCCACCCCAGTTAAATATTTTTCCATATAAAAGTTGCCATGGTCATGGTCTCTCTTTACAGCAATAGAAACCCTAAGACAGAAGTTGGTACCAGAGACTGGGGTATTATTATGAAAGGCCTGGCCATGCTTTTAGGGCAACTTAATGGGCCATACCAGTAGGAGCATGAAAGACAGTGGTGCTAAGAGTGATTTGAACTGTGTGGGGGTCTGGCTCAAGAGGTGTCAGAGGAGAAGAATTTTAGTATATTGCCTAGAAATCATTCTTGTGATATTTTGGAGAAGAATGTGGCTGCTTTTTGCCCTTGTCCAAAAAGTTTGCCTGAGGCTGAAATGAAGAGTATTGGATTAATTCTGTAGGCAAAGAAAATCTCAAAACACCTTAGTATAGACTCCGTTGTGTGGTTATTAGTGTTAACCCTGATGAAGATTTATAATGAAAAAGATGAAGCTGATCAAATAAAAATACAAAATGTACAGATTGAGAAATGGAGCATCAGGAAGTGGAATAGAGCTAAATTCTGTGTTCAAGGAGATAAATGGATTAAGAAATGAAATAAAGGGAGTGGTAACCTCAGGACAAGATCCCACCCAGCTCAATTTCCAACTTGTGAAAAGGAATTAAAGAAAACTTAGAGATGTGTGGTGGGTGGTATATTCTTTTAATCCCAGAACTCCAGAGGCAGAGGCTGGCAGATCTCTGAGTTTGAGGCCAACCTGGTCTATGGAGCAAGTTCCATAACAACCAAGCTTAGGTAGTGAAGAAAACCACAGAAAACAGAAAGCTGGCAAAGATGTAATTGAATGAGAGGGTCATGTTCCAGTCCCAGCAAATAGCAGAACTTGGCAGCATTGGCCACAT